TTTTGTATTATTTTTTAAAGTATCTTAATGATCTTAAATGTAAAAACTCAAAACTATAAATTTGTAGATCCCACCGAGAATTATAACTTTCATACAGAAAGTATCTCTGTTTGACACCATATTAAGAAAAATACGATTTTTCCAAGGACAAGTGCTTGTATGCGATTAAACAATGCTGGAATTTTATATTATTTTTTTGAGCATCTTAATGATCTCAAATGTAAAAACTCAAAATAACAAATTTGTAGATCCCATCGAGGGCTACAACTTTCATATAGAAAGTATCTCCATTTGACACCATATAAGAACGATATGATTTTTCCAAAATGGCAGCGCTGGTACGTGATTAATATACTGCTGAAAATTTGTTTAATTTTTTGAGCATCTTAACGACCTCAAATGAAAAACCTCAAAACTAAAAAGCTGTAGATCTCGTTTTGAGCTATAATTTTTTATATAAAGATCATCTTCATCCGATATCATATGAAAAAGATATAATTTTTCTAATGTTGGGCCTTGCCGCGCCAGTCTGGATGGCGCGGGCTACAGTGCAAGAATTTCCACGTGAAAATCGCTGACTGACATGGTAGATCGTGTCACGCCGATGCATGTGGCGCGGCAGCGTGTTTTGGCCTCGCTACGGACTTTGGCACGGGCAAAAGTGTTAGATTTGAAAATAAAAAAACAACGGTATTAGATTTGAAATTTATTTAAAAAAAAAGGTAAAAAATAAAAAAAATCGCCATCGCGATGGCTACTCACCGGCAAGCGTTCCGCCCCTGCGACTGGTCATCCCATAAACATTCATGGTAGTTTACTATTGTGGATGTCATACCCCGGGTATCCCGACTACAGGATTTGTTGAACACCGACTCCGCATCATAAGAGACCCGACTAGATGCGACGGCCCTATTTGAGGAAGGATATCTCCGAATTACGCCAAGACTCCGACTGTGGCATGACTACTTAGCTTGGGGGGCAAGTTGATCCCGGATATAAATAGCTAGCAATACCCCTGGTTGTAATGATCCAATATCCCGTCTTTTATAGGCATAGCTACACTGTAATCGCAAACTCGTCAAAATACAATAATACAAGAGTAGCAACTGGACGTACGGCTTTTACTCACTTCCCGGGGACACAAACCAATATAAATCGCATGTCTCTACTATGATTGATCTTTGCACCTAGCGGGGTTCCCAAAAACTAAATATCTGGCGGTCAAAAACACCGACAACTAGTTTAGTTACTAACTTACTGATGACTTAGATGACTTTGTAAGCACATACTCCTGTTTGGTTCCCATCGGAACTCGTCATGTGCGCAGTGGCGTCGCCACACTTTGTGGCGCTAAAAACGGCCGCCACACCTGTGGCGTAGTTTTGCACTGGAAAGATCGTGGGATCTGCAGGGGAAAATGCACGGTTGCGTGGGTTTACACCTATGGGAACGCGCGGCGGGGAACCACAAACAGCCCCTAATAATAATATATTCCTACTGCCACCGGTTTCACAAAATGCATGCACCCCTCTTTTCCATAATTAATGAGATGCACATCGACAGAGACGTCTGGAGGCTGGAGGTCCAAAGTAATCAGATTTCGGAGAGAAACGTGTGCCGCTAGCCATGGATGAAAGGGGCAGGCCATCTTTTTGGGCGGGACGACCGGACGGCGGTGCTTCACAAGTTCCACGAAATGGACGTACTTAGCGAGAAATAAGGCACGAGAATGACTAACTCAAAAAACTTTTGGTACTTGAACGGGCATATTGCTGTTAACGTGGACTCAAATACCGTGCCGAGCGTGACTATGGAAAGATTCACAAAATCTTAAGTTTTGAGCGAGAAATGTGTGTCACAAGCCTCATACTAAAAATGCGGATACCACTACTTATCTTGTGAAAGCGACCCAAAGACACGTAGACCTATATTTTTAGTTTGGGAGATGTGTATACCATTAACTATATATTGAAAATGAACAGGGACCGCGAACTGATCACAGATCAGTTGGTTGGGTTCCCTGTGGTGGAATATGTCCATCCGGGTTCAAGTACTCGACTCGGCACGGGTACTTGTATTTTCCTGGATTTTTTAGAATTTATTGGCGCTATGCTTTCAGTGGAAGACGACGTCCCGTCGACAGCGAGGCGTCTGTGGTGACTTCGTGAATCTCAAGATCTGCCGGCTCAATCATTCGGAGGTGCTCATAGGGGTAGGGTTTGCGTACGTGTGTTCATAAGGGTGAGTATACGTGCGTGTTGTGGGTGTCTACGTTGTACTGTGTGATTTAAAAAATGAAAAAGGGCCACAAGAGCAAACTAGATAATATTTTGTCCGAGGATGCTGGAAAAAGATCTGAAGTGACTGAACATTCCTTAATTGCATATTCCTATGTGATGAGATATGTTGATCTTGTAGCTAGTCCACAACATGAAAGGTGACAACACACCTCACGGAAAGAAGGACAAGGACAAGTGCTGTAGATACTCAAAATATTTCAGTGCTGAGAAGAGACGTATAGTTGTTAACATGGATTTAAACACCGCATAGTACGTGACTATTGGTGACTGTCCCAATGTTCACAAAAATCTTTTAGTTCTTAGTGAGAAACAGGTGTTGCTAGCCTCACACTAAAAAGAGAAATACAACTATACATCTTACGAAAGTGACTCCAAAGACGCATGGTATCTTTTTTTTAGTTCGAGAGATGTGCATGCAGAGACGTGTCATAATGGACATGGATTAACAACCTGTTCGGCTGATCCGCTCTCCCTTTACCTCAGCTTATTTTCTCCCTCAGAACACTATTGAATTATCTGAAATCAACTGAAACTGGATCAGTCGAACAGGCCCTAAAATAGCAAACACAATGATATCTTTGTGCAGAGAATATCGTAAAAAGGCCTACAGTTGAACATTACCCGGCCCCGACCGTGCCGCAACATCCGCCCTGTTCGTTTGGATTTGTTTGGTTTATAAGCCATGGCTGAAAGTACTGTTGGCTGATTTGGTGTGAGAGAAAAATACTGTTCATTGACTGATAAACCATACTTTATAAGCCGAATACGATCAAACGAACGGGGCTGGATATCATAGGCGACAACACATAAGGACAAGTGGTAGCGCAAGCAGCAGTACATGAACACTATACATGTTAGGAAAAGAAAGATTTGTGTCTTGGATCGTCCAATCCTATATTCCTGTATATGTAGGCGGGACTGGACGACGATGTGGGGGTCGGCTCCACGTGCCACGAGAACCCCCATATGTTGTATATGTGCTGTGAGATGGTTTTGTCCAGGGCCAACCATCACGCGCGCAAAGGTCGTCGTTCATCAACAGGTGATGTTGCGTGTGATCAGTCAACAGTAGGCTACGTCGGACTGTGCTTGATCTCGTGTGACCGGAAGAACAGATATCCGAAGTGCAGCCAGCACGCGAACCCGTGAGACTTCAATGGCTATAGTTATGGGCGCCATAATGGGCAGCTGAGTCCCATTATAGATAATGAATGCAAAGTTAGTGTTGACAATGGTTGTACTGTTTTCCTTTGCATGCTCAAAGCAGCGTAAACTCACCGGTGTAACTCTGGATATATGAGGCTATGTGAATATCAAAGCAAATTGTATACTTTATTCGGTTTTGGCAGTGTTTCGCCTACCTCTGTTTCAAAATAAATGTACTTTTGGCTATGCACATGGACAAAGTGCTTATCCCAATATAATTTTAATTTAATCTTTTCTTCTCTCATGTGCACCGGTGATAGAAAACTTCCCCTTTGAACAAATATACGAAAGAGAGAAAGCTTTAAAAATCTACATGGGAAATTAGCATGTACAAACTCTAACAACGAGCGTAGCGAGGGTAGCTTCTAAGGCTGTCACTAACAGGAGACCTATCAAGAGACCAAAGCCAAAATAGGTCTCCAACAAGTACATATATGGAAGACCTATTTTAGGTGTCAGGAGAGGTATAACCAAAATCTGAGTATCCTCTCTTCTGAAGACCCATTTGTAGAAAAGGTTCTCTTTTATGTTTTGTTGTTGGAGAAGACTAAATATAGGTATTGAACTATTTATCTATAGCGCTACTCAAACGTAAAATAGGCTTTGTATTTTGGGTAATGGTTACTGGAGACCGTCTAAACGAAGGCAAACGTGTAAACATACCGGGATGGAACCTAGTCTATGCGACGACTATGCCCAAGACAACACACGCAGCAAAAGACGAGAGATGAAAACAGAGCCCATTTTCACAGGACGCACTCGCCGTGTACGCGTAGCTGGCCCCCTGCGTCCACGCCTTTGCCGCGGGAAAATCCCCCCCGGGAACCCGCACAAAACCGACCTCACTCAGCAAGTCAGCAACGAAACGGCAGCCGTTTCGAAAAAACCGAAGCGAAAGGTGCGGGTGCTGTACCGCGCTGTGTCTGTGCGGAGCACGGGGCCACCCACCCACGCCCGCGCCCGCGCCGCGCTGCCTGCCTCCCCCTCCTCTGCAGGCCCCTGCCGCGCTGTCCGTCGCTTCTCCGTTCGCGCTACTACTACCACTGCGGGTAGTAAAAAAACCAGCGCCTCCACCACCTCGACTCCAAGCCAAGGCAGAGCCACCCAGCCAACCCGCCCGGAGCAGCAAAGCATAGGCGCTCGAGCGCTCCCTCACGAGCTCCCCGCCTCACGCCTCGTCGTCCTCCCCTGTCCCCTCCCCCTCCTCGGCCTGCCGCCGTCACCTCCGCCCGCCGAGCCTCGGCTCCCGTGACCCGTCCGCAGCAGCCACCACGCGCGACGACCTCCCCTTCTCCTGAGAGTAAGATCCTCACCCTTCCCGCGCTCCGGCTCCTCCGCTTACCCTGAATTACGCGGGTTCAGGGGGTGTAACGGCTACCTCGCTGCTGCTGCGCGCGCAGATCTGCGGAGCTCGGCATGGGGTGACCAGATCGGGGCGCGGCTCGGTGCTCTCCAGCTGAATTCTGCTCGCGGCTCGTCTCGGAGGCAGCGGAGATGGCTGACGCCGGCGTGGCGCGCGGCTCAGGTTTGCTTTCCTTCACCCTGGCTGCTACCTTCCCTTCTCTCTGGCATGCTTCCGTTTTTCTTTTGTTTTCTCGGCCTGTGTTGCTTCGGCTAGGCCTTTGTGTGGTGATAACTGCTGAGCTGGTGGGTGGGCGCTGAATCGATGAGAGAGCAGAGGTCTAGATGAACGTGGACTTAGGGAGTTGACCCTCTCGTGTGTGAGGGAGAAGAGCAAAGTATGGAATTCGATTCAATTTGCGACGGCTGTGCATTTTTCCATAGGCGGGAATGCTTTTCTTCTTAACTTTGCCATTTGTGGTGTGCAGTCTGTTGCTTTTTGACCGATTCATGGTTGAATTTGCTCCCATTTTGCTGGTCTGCCTGCTTAATTAATGGTCTGTCTGTCTGTCGTTTTTATGCATGCACAATTGCATCTGTGAAATTTGGGGCGGGAATGTATAATTGTTTAATTGTGGATCTGGAAACTGATTTCCTTTTCTAATTAGTAATCACGGCGCCTTCCGTTGTAAAATTTCCAAGCTTAGGTAGCAATTGTTTCTACAAAGCATAGATGGCCCTTAATTCTTGTATGTATATGTTGTAGGATTGTTGTTTTGACTGCTTTGCTCGACAATTTGCAATTTTGCTGTTCTGCAGTAAATTATACAAAAATGGATCTGGGAAATTGGGCTTAGGGGAGGAAAGATGTATAATTGTGGATCTGTAAACTTATTTGTGTCAAATTAGTAGTTACAGTGCATTCCGTTGTAAAAGCTGTATGGTTTGCTCAACTATGTGAAGTACTTGGGTGGGTATTTAATTCAAATCAAAGGGCTCAAAACATCTGGTTGTAGCAGAGTTGTACCAATGGCTTGCATGTGAAGCATTTCCCTAGAAACAAATATGATTTTTATTGGATCTGTGTGGATGTTGCTTCATTAGGATTATGTCATTGATACTCAATTAATTCATTATAAAAATAGACTAATTATGCTGTAAAATTTACAAAATAAAAGGCTGGCAATGCTTTGTTCAGGGAACTCTGCCATGCTTCTTCTCAACTTCTCGTGAACATTTCTCCTTAACCAAATCAAATGCCTTTGTATAGGGAGTGCTGGCGATGCTTTGTTCAGGGAACTCTGGCATGCTTGTGCTGGGCCGTTGGTCACAGTGCCTCGCCAAGGCGAGCTGGTTTATTACTTCCCGCAGAGGTCATATGGAACAGGTATATCTCGTTGTAGTGTGCCACAGTTAAGGAATTGAATGCTTATCTGCGTTCTGTAGCTATTAATATTCTAATAATATTTATTGTATGTTCAAATGACAGTGGTATGTTCTATGTTAATTCCGCTCTTTTTATGTAATCTTGTCATTAAACTGACCATAAAACATCTTTCTATAGCTTGAAGCATCTACAGATCAACAACTTGATCAGCACTTACCTCTGTTTAATCTTCCACCCAAGATCCTCTGCAAGGTGGTCAATGTAGAACTTAGAGTAAGTCCTCTATTCCTTTTACTTTATGTAGTCCCCTTCATGCAAACTTCACTGAAATGACAATTGCCCACTAATAGGACCAATCCTGTACTTTCCTTACTGCTTTACCTCTGGAATGCAGGCTGAAACTGATTCTGATGAAGTTTATGCTCAAATTATGCTGCAACCAGAAGCAGAGGTGAGTAGGTTCACTCATATAATTTCTTGTGGATCTCGATCCTCTCATTGAGTTATTGTCTGTTTCTTTGTTTGTGCAGTATAGTGCTGTATCTCACACATCATGATCTTTCGTTTTCGCAATCAACTTCTCTAACTATATTGCATAGTCAGTATTACATGTGTATGTGTTGACTTATTTTCCTAATTCGCTAAATTAGCAAAATGAGCCCACCAGCCCAGATCCTGAGCCACCCGAGCCTGAAAGATGCAACGTCCATTCCTTCTGCAAGACCTTGACTGCTTCAGATACAAGTACCCATGGTGGATTCTCTGTCCTCAGGCGGCATGCTGAAGAATGTTTGCCCCAACTGGTTAGCGTCATAATGTATAACATACCTAGGCGTAGTATTTGAGTTATAGCCTTTTAAGTGGGATGATTTTTATTTGTAGGACATGACTCAGAATCCACCATGGCAAGAACTGGTGGCAAAAGATCTCCATGGAAATGAATGGCATTTCCGTCACATCTTTCGAGGTTAGATTCTGATCTCAATGTACCAGTTAAGGGCCCGTTTGTTTCCACTTCTCCTAGCCACGCTTGGATTATAATCTAAGCGAAGATTTTCTCGCTTCTCGCTTTTCGCTTCTCGTAGTTCAAATCTCTGAAGCGGCTTACCACATAAGCGAGAATCGGTGGAAATAAGCAAAGCGTTTGGCGGGATTCTCGCTTATTTCCACCGACAAGCCGCTTATAAGCGGAAACAAACGGGGCCTAAGCCTACTTTTAGTTTCCTAGTATTATAGTGCTGTCTTTATAGTTCTGATGTGGTATTAATTTTGAATGGACTTAGTTCCCCTGATTCAAAAACAAATTTCCTGTAATTATTTTGATCACAAACAATGATGTTTTCATAATGATTTAGGTTACAATGACTCTTGAAGTATTTGCTATTTCTTTCAGGGCAACCAAGGAGGAATCTACTTACGACAGGCTGGAGTGTTTTTGTTAGCTCAAAAAGATTGGTTGCTGGTGACGCGTTTATCTTTTTGAGGTGTGACAGAATTTCATGTTGAAGCTGTCTTGCACATTTGAATTTGTTTCCTGGCTCTGCTGAATTTCTGGATCAACCTGCTAACTGTTCTTCATCTAACAGAGGTGAGAACGGAGAGCTGCGAGTCGGGGTAAGGAGGCTCATGAGGCAACTAAATAACATGCCGTCCTCGGTTATCTCAAGCCACAGCATGCATCTTGGAGTCCTAGCAACTGCATCTCATGCCATCTCCACTGGAACTCTCTTTTCTGTTTTCTACAAACCCAGGTTTGATCCATTTTATTTTAAAACTTCCTTCTTGGAATCCTTTCTTTACTCAAGACAATATCTTTTGTTGGGTGTACTATACTTTGTACATGAACTAACTGTGCTGTGATCAAGTATTGATTTTGCTGTGGTGGTGGGTGGCGGCTTTGATGCCTATCCAGCCTCACACATGAGACAGTTTTCTTTGTTCACATGAGTTGTGTTGTTTCTTGTGCTCAAATTATATTGTCCTATTAGGTTTGACATGTGGAAATGCACTGTTCGTAAACTTGTACTTCTGAAACTTACATTGTCCATCTTATTTGGTCCACAGAACAAGTCGATCGGAATTTGTCGTTAGTGTAAACAAGTACCTTGAAGCTAAGAATCACAAGATGTCTGTTGGTATGAGGTTTAAAATGAGATTTGAGGGTGATGAATCTCCTGAAAGAAGGTATTCTACATTTTATATTCCATAAATAGTTATTTCGTCATAGATTTCAGAGGTGTGCCTATTATAACCTTCTTCCTTAATTGTTTGCAGATTCAGTGGGACAATTATTGGTCTGGGAAGCATGCCAGCTAAATCAACATCTCCGTGGGCTAATTCTGAATGGAGATCTTTGAAGGTAATCAATATTTTTCTATTTGTGGACACAATTCCACTTTTACTTTGCATTTGCCTCTGAAATATTGTTACAATTCATATGTGTTTTCCAAGACCTCAAGCCATGCTCTCACTGCTGACAGGTCCAATGGGACGAGCCTTCTGCTATTCTGCGTCCAGATAGAGTTTCACCTTGGGAACTAGAACCCCTTGATGCAACTAATCCACAACCACCTCAACCTCCTTTACGGAATAAGCGTGCACGGCCTCCTGCTTCACCTTCTATTGCTCCAGAACTTCCTCCAGTTTTTGGTATGTGGTTGCTAAGCTGATGTGCCAAATCATCCCTCTGCTTATGACAACGATACTTACTATAGGGACAGAGACCTTATGTTTTCTACTGTTTTGTTCACATATTGGCTGGCTTGCAGACCTAATCTCCTGATTCTCTTCTATGCCATCTTAGGTTTTGGAAATCCCCAGCTGAGCGTGCCCAAGCTTTCTCATTTTCAGGACTGCAGCGAACTCAGGAATTATACCATTCAAACCCCAATTCAATCTTCTCATCATCGTTGAATGTAGGATTCAATTCAAAGAATGAGCGTTCTACTCCAAATAACAATCATTTGTACTGGACAATGAGAGAGACAAGAACTGAATCCTACTCTGCTAGCATTAACAAAGCTCCTACTGAAAAGAAGCAAGAGTCTGCTACTTCTGGCTGCAGATTGTTTGGTATTGAGATAGGTTCTGCAGTATCACCAGTGGTTACTGTTGCTAGTGTTGGTCAGGATCAGCCACCTGCTCTCTCAGCAGATGTTGAATCTGATCAGCTGTCACAACCATCCCATGCCAACAAAACAGATGCCCCAGCAGCAAGCAGTGAGCGCTCTCCTAATGAAACAGAGAGCCGGGCAAGTCAGGAGCTGCACCAAGGTGATAATAGGTTATGAACATTTTAACTTGCATCCTTTATGGTGATGCGAGTGTAACTAACAACTGTTGTCCCTGCAGGTAATCATGCAAGGAATGGCGGTTGGCAGGGCAGTGGACTTGACGAGGTTAGATGGGTATGATGATCTTCACCGCAAGTTGGAGGAGATGTTTGATATCCATGGAGAGCTTTCTGCCAACCTCAAGAAATGGAAGGTTGTTTACACAGATGATGAGGATGATATGATGCTGGTCGGGGACGATCCATGGAAGTATGTACCCTTTTCCCTTTGCACTAGATTCGTTAGTGATGGAACTTTTGAAGTCCTTAACTATGTCGCCGATTTAACTCGGGTTTTCTTTCTTTCGTTCCAGTGAATTTTGCAGGATGGTAAAAAGGATATATATTTACTCTTACGAGGAGGCCAAGTCTTTGACTCCCAAAGCGAAACTGCCGGTCATTGGTGACACCATCAAGCCAGACCCAAGCAAATTGTCACCGGAATCTGACATGCCACAGAGTGACTCAAACAACAATGCTCCCGTTGCTGCTGATAAGGATTGATGAATGCTAACTTGGCTCTATCTTTTCTTCCCCTCTTGGATGTTGGTCATGGGAGGCAATGCCCATGCTCCTTGAGACTGCTAAGAGTTATCTGTTTTGTTGTTTCGCGGGCCCAAAGGACGCTGCCCTGCATCATCTGCCTCGGTCTGGAATGGCTTGGACCAGCTGTGGTCCTTTACCAGCAAGGAATGGCTGGGAGGGGGAATGCATACCGTTCGGTGTGTGGCACCCGTGTTTTGTTTGCCGTGTTTGGTAGGAGGCATGGCTTATTGCCGGGTACTTTGGTTTTGGAGACTGCCACTGACTGCTGTCGTCTCACTGGCCGTCGGCGGGCTGCCCCTCTCACCTCTAGTAAATAGGACTTATGTACACAACTATTTTGGTAGTAGCAGTAGTAGTATATGTATATCATCGGTCATGTTGCTTGCTACATATACTCCTATATAGCATCCTCCGTAGCTGCTATTTCCCATTTTCCCTCCTGCATTTTAATCCCGGCTTGGTGGTATCTGATGCTCTGGTGCAAAATGTCTGTTCGTTCCAACGGCATGCTCTTTTCGGCGCGTGCTGCCTTGCTGGGTGTCGTGTGTGCTTTCGGTTGGAACATTGCTGCCACCGCCCGGCATTTGTGCTTTCTTGGTGCTGTGTGTCTGCCCTCCTGTACAAGGCATCTGTATTCTGTACATATATGAACCAGTGACTCATCTGTAATGCCTGGGATATCTGGTTTGACGTGATGCTGATGCGGGCGAGGCCCTTTCTGCTTTATGCTTTGCCTGCGTGGAAGAGGCATTCTCCTCGTGATGGCGACTGGCGATGGACCTCATGATCTTTCTTCCACCGGTCTCCATCCCGGGTGGAAGGCTCATCGGAATGATGGTTTCGGCCGTAGCTCGCTTAAAGCCTCGTGCATGAGGGGCTAGGGGCATCTGTTTACCAAAGCAGAGGCTGAGAAAGATTTGAGGGCTTAGACCCGGAATGCAAACATTGTTGGGGATCAGAGAGATTTGATTTTGAGGGCTTTGTTGTAACTTGTAAGGGGCACTTGATTTTCACCACTCTCTTGGAGTGTCCAATTACTTGTGCCCATGTGGCACAATCCGAGTCACTGAAAATGGGCAAGAATAGCAGGCTGTGTGCTGCTCACTCACATCATAGGGATGGAAAAAAAATGAAATTGTTGAGGGGACCTAAGCATTGGATTTTTTTTTTTTTTTTTCAAAATTCAACCACCTTTGATTGTGTCGTTTGTAAGGAGGAAAACATGGCCTTTCAAACAATGGGAATGCCCAGGGGCTCAGAGAGACCTTCTGATAGAAGCATTTATTTCCTTTAACAAGGCAGCATTATATTAACAACACTGTTCGTTACAGATTATGGCCCGGATCATCTCCGGAGGCTCATGCAACCAAGTTTCATATTGAACTGAACAGACGTTTTAGCTAAAAGATGAGCTACCTCATTACACTGTCTACTGACATGTACAAAAGAAACATCAGGATTTTCACTAATCAGGTTTTTAACATCCTGAATGATGACACCAACATGAGATCTATCAACCCCCTTGAAGTTCATTCTTCCTGGTAAAACTTTGACAATCAGAAGTTACAATGATTTGCCTGAGATTATGCTCCATAGCAAAGGAAACAGCTCTTTTGACTGCAATTGCTTCAGCTAGTGCAGGATCCTCAATTCTGTGCACTAGCTGACAGCAATGCACTAATGCAGCACTAAAAGCACCCTTGTGAGCACGTAACACTATTCCAGCCCCCATGCAGGAAGGATTTTTGAATATTGCTGCATCAACATTGAACATCAACCATCCATCCGGCGGTGGAATCAATTTTTGGACAGACTAATCAGATACACCTGTGTGATGTTGGTATTTTAGATATGTGCAGCAAAGACATCTGTGTATAAGCTATCGCCTTTTCTGCAATTACCTTGGGATGAACTCGGCTTTCACCATTGCGTACTGCATTTCTTGCCTCCCAAATATGCCAAACAGTGATAGTAACAGTGGTCTTTTGGTTATCAGATGCATCATCTAAGAAATCAAATAACCACTGCTTCATACAGACCAGATACTTTATATTCAGTGTGAGGCCAAAACACCTTTTTATCTCATGCCAGACCTCAGATACATACTGGCATGTTAAGATAGCATGATCCACAGTTTCTTCCCTGCCACAAAAGCAGCACGCATCAGATCCAGGTATGTTTCGATGCTTGAGTTGAGTGCATGTTGGCAAGCAGTCCTTTGTGCTAGCGCCTAGACGTCTAGTGCTACCATGTAATCATGCGTGTACACTACCAGCACAAAGTGCAAAATCAGTTGGACGTGAAAGGGACCGTAACGCCTAAGAGGGAGGGTGAATTAGGCAACTTAAAACTCTAGCTATAAATTATGGCCTCTTTTTCTAACCTTAACAAAACCTATGAAAAAGATAAACTATCTAAATGTGCAACTATGGTTTTGCTAGTGTGTTGCTATCTCTACCGCAAAAGAAGTTATGCAAACAATGTAAATGCGAAAACTAAAGAGTAAGGTAGAGATATGCAAACTCCCATCGACGACTCTGGTATTTTTACCGAGGTATCGAGAAGCGCGCAAGCTTCCCCCTAGTCCTCGTTGGAGCCCCTCGCAAGGGCCAAGCTCCCGGTCGAGTAACTCCGTGGATAGCCTTGGGCCTTCCCCACGCGCAAGTGGGTCTCCGACGTACCTTCCGGCAAGCTTCTCCCGGATACTCCCTGCCGTCTTCACTATCAAGCTTCCGGCCAAAGCGTCATGGGCCTTATTCCCTCCGGTACACGGTGGCGGCCACACCACAAATGCGGTTGGTGTGATCTCGCAAGACTACAAGCCCATCCGATGTACAACAATGGTGCGCGCAAGCACCGAGTGGTAAGAGGTATGCAAACCTCACTAAACACTAGGCCTAAACCTAGAGCAATCGCATAAGCGGTGGTCTAATTAACCTAAGCACTTTGTAAAGTGCCTACGCTAATCACCTAATGAATCACTAAGCACTATACAAGTGGAGATCACTAAAACAAAGGTATGAACACCCTTGGTATGTTTCCTCATCTCTCCACCTCTCAACTGGCCAGTTGGAGGGTCTATTTGTAAGTCCTATAGAGAAAGTAGCCGTTGGGGCAAAACCCAGCTTTACGCTCGACCGGACGCTTTATCGTCTGACCGGACGCGTGTCCGGTCGTCCCGGCTCCGCTGGAGCGTGCGTGTTGATCGGACTCTGGGCCGAGTCCGGTCATCATCGTTCGGACGCGTCCGGTCGCGCTGGCCCCGCTTTGGAATCTTTCTGGACTCGATCGGACGCCACTACATGGCGCGTCCGGTCGTCCACAGTCGTTGCGTCCGGTCACGCTGAATTATTATCGCGACGATGAATAGTGAAGTCCGTGCGTCCGGTCACTACCTCGCTCGGTGTCCGGTCACTGCTGCTGACGTCTGCTGTTGCCGAGCAACTGATCGAACGCGTCCGGTCACTCATAGGTTGGCGTCTGGTCACTTCTGTGGAGCTCGTTTCTTCGCGATCTTGTTTGTTCCCATCTTCATGCTTGGACTTTACTTAATATCTTGGGTCTTCTCTTGTGCTTCTAGAGTCTTGCTTATGGTGTTGATCATGGGATCATCATGTTGCCTTCATCCAAGTCACGTCTTTCACCCTATTGAACTACAAAACAATTACTTGCAAATTCATTAGTCTAATTCGGTTGTGTTGGTCATCAAACACCAAAATCCAAAGTAAATGGGCCCAGGGTCCATTTTCCTTACAATCTCCCCCTTTTTGTGATTGATGACAACACGACCAAAACAAACAAATAATAAAAAATTTGGAATTTAAAAACTATTTACTTGCTAGGATGCAATGCAAAGGGCAATGTTATATGATGCTAAAAGATACCATATGTAAGCACATGTAAGCTAAAGATACCACAAGTAAGCTAATCTATATCACATGTAAACATCTTTGGAAACTTATCTTGCCCTTGCAAATGTCCCCATGTGGCATTATGGATTTAAGTCTTCCCCTAACTCCATAATCCACTATCCTCCCTTTCTCGGACCATTACCACTTGTAAATTATTACCATTACCACTTGTAAATTATTATGATCGAGCTTGCTTTTGGTCCTACAAATTCTCCCTCTTTGGAATTAAACACCGAAAAGGAAGACATTAGTAGCATAAGGGAGGGTCAAACTTTATGATCCTTTATATGTGGAGTGAAATAGGTCATAAAATTTGACTATCACATTACATAGACTAAGCTCCCCTAAATATATGCATACACATGATGGAGAATGTAGTTTATGCATAATTGGTAAATTAATGCTCAAGAGAGTTTAATCTATATAATGCTTGGAGAAAGCATATGAATACTAAAGTGAAATCAACATGATGATATAGGTTTAGAAATACCACATGTGGAACCCAATTTGATTTATACCACTTGCAATAGGTGGTGGATATTTGAAGTATGATGCTTAACTCCGGGGACTCCATTTTTCTTGCATTGAGACTACTACACACATGATAAACTTAAAAATATGTTAGTCTCAAAGCATCCAACTTGTAGAGTAACCTCCCCCTAAATTTGTGCACACAAGTATGAAATACTTGTAGGAGATATGCACATTGATTTTAGAATAAAAAATACCACTTGAAAGATGACATCACATGAATGTGAGAATCATTTTTGAAAGTGATATTCGGAAAAAATTATCTACAATTTAGACTTTGGCATATATTGGATGAACAATTGTAAAACAAGTTATGTGCCGTGCTCCTAAACAATTTAAACCATGTAGGTTTGCTCCAAGGGTTAAGAGTAAAACCGAGCAAGCCTACCATAAGATATACCAAGTGTATGCAAGATAAAAGATTAAACATGCAAATGCAAACCTAGGCATAAAAATGAACTAGATGCTAATTGAGATTGCAAGAAATTAAATCTAGTTACCCAACATGGGAAGGAG